CAATATGTTGTCCACAACAACGGCAGCCACATTGAACCTCATTTGAATGCAAAATAAAAGGTAATTTCCGTGCTGATTTGCATTTGTTAACACACTATTTTCTATTACACAGCGCCAAATATTCCCCTAGCGGTGACTTTTGGAACTAATTTTTTTTCGCGGAATCCTTTGTGCCCCGTCTTGTTTAATCTTCCTACAAAATGTGGCGTCATTCTCGCAAATAGATCGCGCTACAGAACACTGTGAGCACTGTCAGTTTAATTATGGCCACCCGTTATATATATATATATATATATACAAACCCGTTATATATATATATAAAGCGCTACTAATCTTCATTGAAAGGGTTTTTTTTTTCTGCAGAATATTACTGATATCTGGAGTTTCTTGAAGTGTATTTTGAATTATGTACATGCTCCATTTTTATATAAAACACCTGCTGTTTTCCTTTGTCTGTTTTTAGCTTAGAGAACGTTATATATTTCGTTATATGGCCTAAACATATGCGAAGTTCCCTCTTAAAATTTGTACTTCATTCAGTGGAAAGATCTGCATCCAGAAAATATTGCTTCAGTTGTTCTGAAAGGGAAATTTCTATTAAATGTTATTACTTTCCTTATCTCGTTTTCTAATTTTGTACTTCGACGGTATTTTGCACTTGGACGATGTTGATTTCTTTCCCTTGCGTTGCATTTTAATACGATATCGTGGTATCAGCAGCTCTGGCATGGGTACTGACTAGCAATGATTTCCTTGACCCGTAACAAAACAGTAAGAGATCGAAACAGTTGTTGTGACTTATTTTACTTATTTGATAGTAACATCGGAACACGCCCACGAAATTCATTGTTGCAGGAACAGCAAGGTTGTGCCTGTCATTGGCAAGAGCCTTGGGCACCATACAGGTGACACTACGACTTCGCTCAGTTCTGCCCGAATTTTGATGGAGTTCATCTCAGGGGGACGCGTCTGAGGCTCTCCCAGCCTTCTTCCCCTACCATCAACCTCCCGAGAGGACTTTCAGCTCGCCCTGTATTTACAGTGCCCCCATGCCGCAGAGACACTATACATTTACAAACATCCATGTCCTTTCCGAGATTCAAACTCGTGCCCTTTGGTATCACAGTAGGCTCCTCTAACACTATAATTCTAAACCCGTGTTTAAAGTGGAATTGCATTATAAGAGAGACGTATTATATAACTGCTGCTTATATACGAAAATAGCCTATCATATTATAAGAGTCCTATCAAGTACAAAAAATGCTAGGTTAGGTGGCAAATGTTAAAAGGGAAGATACAGTGGGCCAACGAAAATAAATGCGTCAAGCACAGACATCTCTTATTACTCACATATTAATCACAGCACATGCTGCACGTATTAAAATAAGCTCTGCACAGGACTGTCTTGAAAGCATCTTGGGGTTCCGGACATGCGTAGTGTTCTGAAGTCATTATCGACACATACAAACAGAGATGGACAGAACACAAGAATTTCACCATTGATCGTATAAGTACAGTCAAGTCTCGCTAATTGTGCAGTCCCGCCCCAATTTTGAGAGGGAACGCCCACGGGGGTGCTCCGAGGTTCTTCCATCTCTCTTCACCTACCATCAACTCTCAAGACGACTTTCTGCTCAATCTGTATTTTATATGCCTCCTTGCCGCATAGATACATCGATTGTACGCTTACAAGCATCTATGCCTTTTCCGGGATTCGAACCCGGGCCTATCGGTACGGCAGTCAGCCTCACTAACCATTATACCGGATTAGCGGCTGATTGTTTACCATCATAGCCAAGGATAAAGAAAAATTTGCTAAATTTAGCATTGCGATCAAGAGACAAAGGAAATATTTAAACGTTCAGACGGCACTGCTCATGCATGAATGCATTTTAGCCCAAAAGGGCTATTAATTTCAAAAAATGGTTTTTCGTTGCTTTATTTTCATTCCAGTCTTGCCATTCGGAAAAACGTAAATATATTATTCTTTTGTATTTAAGTCTTAACTAACAAACTAAACTATTTAAAAATTGCAGGGGCAATTCTTAAGAATATTCCTTTTTGTTTTAATCTGATTGATTTAAAAAATGCATTTAGTTCATGATATATATAATTAAAAATATTGAATATTTTTATGGAACTGCATTATATATATTTTCCCTTTCGAAATATACAGAAGATATTTGTTACGAAAGATCCAGCTGCGGTAGGATAGCTTCCTCGCAAAGCAAGTTTAGCATTGCCATAAAATAGCAAGTGAAGGCAGGGTTGCATTGTTTGGCGAGAAATCGCTCATTTGGGGACAAAATTCACGATATGCCTTAGACGGATGGAGAACCTTCTGAAATGAATTCTTACCAATTTGCCCAGAATGTTCTCGAACGCAAACCAAAAGCTTTATAAACCCTACTGGTACGCGGAGTTAATAGTCAGTTAAGAGTAGTATCTCGTAGCCTATCGACTCGATCACGAGCCAGTCAGTCAGTGTCTAGTCCATCGAGTTGATCGTCAGTCTAGTCTCGAGCTTGTCGTCGGCAGTATAGCGAGCTGGTGCATCGAGAGTGTATCGTCGAGTGCTTCGTGAGCTACATATAGCGTGGAGAGTCTCAAGAGTACGTAGAGTTTCGAGAACGACTGAACCGAGTCGGGAGCTGTACTTTTGTGCTTTGCCGTGAATCTCTCTTCGCCATAATAGCCTGAAAGATGTGCTGCTGATTGTTTCAGTGTGTTTGCCGTTTCGACAACTTTCAACGTGTTTTTTGAGCTGTCCTGAGTAACACTAGCTAATAAATTTGCATTTTGATACTTCATAAAGTGTCGTCGTTATTCACTCCAAATTCACGGACCCGTACGTACAGAAACGCAGCAATATATAATGCACACATATTATTCTGAATGGATATTCATTCAATAGCCTACAAAATATTTTGCTATTCCACCTGGGCCATCTCTATCGCTAATCTCTACAGATAAACCATGCTAAAGTTTAAAACAACTTTTTTGGTGATCTTTAAAATTTGAATCCTTTCAGGCATTTTTTCCCTTGTGCAAAAACTTTAGCATGGCTTCGTAGTGTAGTGGTCTGGGCGCACGCTGGGCGCGTATTCCAGAGGTTCGTGGTTCGATTCCCGGCGAGGGTGTTGCTCATTTTTCATCTCTCCTGCTTCCAAAAAATACCTAATGTCTCTACAGCATTATATGACGAGAAAATACCCGCTCTGCCACAAGACTCTAGCATTTAAGTTACTTTGATCTGTTTGATCTGTTTAGGATTAGATTTACATTTTAAGGGAATTTCTACTGCAGATCATTGGTTCTTAAATTACAGATTTGAAATTTTCCGTTAAGCATAAAGTTTTTAGTCTTCGATCCTGATAAGTACTGTAGTTATCAATGCTGGTTGTCGCATCGTTGAGCCTGGGTTCGAATCCAGGAGAAGGCTTGGACGTTTACAAATGGATAGTGTCTTTGTAGAATGGAGCCCTTAAAATAGATTGCAAGCCGAAAGTGCTGACAAGTGTTTTTTATTTTTCCTTGGCAACAGCTCTTGATTTTATTTTTCCTCAATTAACCTCAATTATTAATATTTTTCCTCAATGATTTTATTTTTCTGCAAGTAAAAGCATCTATAGGTTATGACGCGATGACTTTTATAGAACTTCTGTCACGCGATATCTTGGGAAAAAGTATTACGTTGTCAGGATTACCTCAATTTTCATTTTTCTGTTTATATGTATTAAATACAGCTTGATTTATAAATTCAAAACTAGCAAAGCAATTTTTGTTTTCCCCGGAGTGGTAATGCTTTTGCTATTTTTAACTTAAGACAGAGCATACATGATTAGGTAAATATATAACTATTTCAAAACGTAATATCAGATGGGAAAGAAGAGACAACCGCAGACAGCGAATGAAATAATGAGCTTATAACTTCGACAGCGATCTTGAGCAAATGTAAGACAACGACATTAAAGAAACTATCGATATTTTTATCAAAATAATCATCATTTCAGTAATAATAATACGGTTTGTAAATTATCTAGTGTCTGCTTATATAGAAATAGATTTTCTAGAGGCGTTTCGCACTCATAAAAATCATCCACTTCTAGCCCAATTCCAATCCTCTTTTACCTTCAGCTTTTCAGGAAATTATTTCATAAGTATTTTAATTTTTCACCAATAGATGGCGCCAGTAGCTTAAAGTTCTTCCTTTCATTGTTATCGCCTGAACACAGGCTTCTCTTTCGTCATTTGCACTTCTTCAGCCGAAGAAGGGCCGCTACTTTTAAATCTTCGTAACTAGTCCAGCAGATTTACGAATGTTACGCTGATTCTCGTTGTCTTAACTCTTCCAATAATTAGCTTGAATTTGCTTAATAATGTGTATTTTATTTTTCTGCAAGTAAAAGCAAGTAAAGTCATAAAGAATTCAGTACACAATGACCTGCTGGTTCTTTGTAGTAGTTTGTAGTTAGTAGTAGTTGCCAATTGGTTCTTTGTAGTAGTTTGTAGTTACCTATTCACCTTTCATACTTTTGGAAAATTGACCAAACGAAGACGTGAGACCGGGCGAAATATTTTCTGTGTACCGCAACAGATGCACATTGATCTAAACAAGAGACGCCAATGGCAGAATTTGTGTTTAAATTATTAACCTTGACTTTGCATCTCTAATTCTATGTTACAGTTGATTCAGAAAAATGTAAAAAGTATTTGAATTACACGAATGATGATTACATTTGAAAGAATGAAACACAATTCAAGCCTTTCGTATTTGAAAATGCCCTGCGAAATTTTATTTGAAATAAATATGACTGTGCTTTTTACTGACTATTACATTAAAATTATAATGTAACACTACTGTATTAAACTCAATAAATTTGTTCATATATTTAATGACGAAGGTAATCATAAAAATCATTACTACTCTTAGTTTTTATAATTTTTAACTGCGAATTACATTCATATGTCAAATTTTTTAATTATTAATTTTTTTACAGGTGTGAAAATCTGGTTTTGAAAAGCGGGAAAATTAATGAATTGATCCCGATGAAAGTGTGACGAAAGAAATTGTATCATAATACATATGGATTATAAAAATATCTAAAGATTGTGAACTATACGAACTCTTTTAAAAGCATTTACTGCATTTGAAAAGTGTAGTATCAATACATGTTAGGGAATGATGTTGAGCGTGTTGAAGTTAAAACATAAACTTCGGTAAAAGAATATGGATAACTAAAGCGTGGAAAATTTTTATATTATATCAGTGCTGAATAATAAAAAAATGGCTTATGATGATGAATGCATAGTGATACAGTCATGCTATATGAAATTCCTTTCCGAATGTGTCGTGAAGAAATAGAAATAAATGTATGATGTCCTAAAATTGTCCAAGACACATTTTGTTTTAATATCATACATATTTATTAAGTATCCTTATTAAAATCTGCCCTAAATTCGATTAAAAGAAGTATAGGAACATACATAAAGTAAGAAACAACACAATACATGTATAAGTACTATTTTGCAATATTGATAATAAACTCATTATAAAACTAATTAATACAGAGGATGTTTGCTCATTTAGACGATTTATCTTTGTTCTAAAAAAATATTCTGCTTGGAAATTTTTTTAACTACAATTATATTTTTGAAACTATTAAATTATCGTCTGCTACTTTAAATAGTTTTGTCTTCATGCAAAATGCCGCTTTTAAAGAAGCAATGAACGAAAGGCTATGTTTGTGTTCTTTCAAAAGAAAATTATTAATATCTAGTTATTAAAAAAATCTAGTTATTGTTACGTTATTTTCTGCTTCCACGTTCGTACGGGGTTCGTAGATTTGGAGTGAATAACGACGACATCTGATGAAGTATCGAAACACACTTTATTTACCAATATTAATCAGATAGCTCCAAAATCACTTTTACAGTCGTCGAACTGTTATAAACACGCTGACACGTTCAGCGACACTGCCTTCACACTGTCGGGCAATAACGGTGGAGGCAGCTTCACTGCAAAGCACCCGAGTACAGCTCCCAACTCTGTTTAGTCGTTCTCGGAACTCCACGTACTCTCGAGACTCTCCACAATACACATGCACGCTACGATACACAAGAGTATAGCTCTCGACTCAGCACAGTCTAAGACAAAACTCGACGATGCGCTAATTCGCGACGCACTAAAAGACTCTCTCGATGCACTCGACGACCAACTCGGCGCTGGACTTCGAGACACTCGCTCAATGACTGACTATCAGCTCGTTAGACGAGGCACACACACTGACTGCGAACCAGCAGGGTCTTTCGACTTGTATTCGAGAACATTCTGGGCTAAACCAGTAAGAATTCGTTTCAGAAGATTCTCCATCCGTCCATGATACATCGCCAATTTTGTCGCCAAATGTGGCAACCCATCCTTCCCTTGCCATTTTATGGCAATCCTAAAATGCTTTGCGGGGAAGCCATCTTACCGCGCCTGTACTTTTCGTAACATTATTAAAATTATTAGTGGTTTTTCAATATCTAAGGCTACGATAGGTAACACTGTCAACAAGGAAGGGAAACAAGTCAAAGTTTGGCTTCAAATGAAAAGATACCTCCTAACACGTACTGAAGGAAAAAGAGAATTTTGAATATTGCAAAAGTAAAATATTTAATAATATAATGTTAAACGAAAATCCACCAATTCAAAGGACAGTTGCGAAATTATTAAAATGCTCAATGTCAACGGTAAACATAATGATTAAAGGCGAAAAGACATGCATCCTCTGCCTTTGTGACTCATCGCCGAACGCAGAACGCTCTGCAGAAATTTTTATGAGAAATATTTATCCTGACAAAAATGGGAAAATGTTGTCACAATAGACGAATCTTGGGTGTGCTTAAATGACTGCAATAAAAAGATATTCATTTATTATCATCAAAGAGAACAAAATATCTTAAAACATGGTTTAAGGAATATAAATAAAGTTTTTCTAAGGGATTTATGATTGTTGCTTGTTTTTCATATAATGGCAAATTAAAAATAAAGAGAGTGGAGAAAAATGTTAAGATCCACATATTATCAAAAACATTTTTTACGCAATTTTCAAATATGACATACCTTCTCTTTACACACAGTGCGTAGAACTGCATCAAGACAAAGCACGCAGCAACACTTCAGGATCTACTATTAAATTTCCTGGGAAAAATGGAACAAGAAATACCGTATTTGACGGCATGTAAGACGCACTGGCATATAAGACGCACCCTTATTTAGATGGCCACACACAAGGAAAAAAGGTTTCAATAGCGTGGTTTCTTTTAGTTCTCACGTTTCGTAAAAGCCAAATAAACAATTATTGAATGCAAATTACCTTCACGTATAAGACTGTGTCCTTCACGTATAAGAGACGCGGGTGCTTTTTTGAGACTAAATTTAGGAAAAAAAGTGCGTCTTATATGCCGTCAAATACGGTAGGTATCAAGGTCATAGTCTTCATTGATATCCCAACTACACTCATGTCCATAAATTAAGGATAATTCGGAGTCACGCGGAAATCGAACTCTAAAATAAATATATCACCTGTAAAATCACTACACACATCTTCAAGAATAATATGCAAATTTCAGGAAGTAACCAGATGACACCGATGGTACGTCACAATGACGAGAGTGTAAGAGAGTGATATATAAGGAATACAGGCAAAGAAGTAAAATTGTTCGCAGGCGCTTTATAAGCATTTCAGTGCAATAACCGAATAGTTATGACACAAAGGACGCATTTGGATGATTTTTTACGTGGTAGAATTATCGGCCGTCTGGAATGTGGGCGTACCCAACTGGAAGTATCAGACGAACTTGGAATTGCCCAGAGTATCATCTCCAGGCTTTGGCAAAACGATTCCAAGATGATGGTAATGTGAGTAGACGTTACAGCACAGGGTCGCCCCAGAGTTACAACGCCGAATGAGGACCGGTATTTGGCAGTTACTGCCAAAAGAAAACAGGCGGAGCACAGCCTCAGACCTGTCTCGTCAGCTCTCTTCAGCCACTGGTACGACAATTTCAAGGCAGACCGTGTACAGACGCTTAGGGCAGATTGGTCTATATGCTCGTAGACCTGTCAGATGCGTTCCACTTACTGCAACTCACTGTCGCCTGCGGTTAGCCTGGAGTAGAGAGCATGCATGCATGTGGACACCGCAACAGTGGGCTTGTGTGATGTTTTTCCGACGAGTCCAGGTTTAGCTTGCAGTCTGATTCTCGCCGGCCTTTCATATGGAGAGCTCCAGGTACCCGTTACCACAAAGAAAACATCATTGAACGACACCGTTACGGTGGTGCAGGAGTGCTCGTTTGGGGTGGAATTATTCTGGGTTCCAGAACTGACCTGCATGTTCAAATTGGAACCATGACAAGCCAAATCTATCGGGACGTCATTCTGGAACAACATGTACGTTTGTTTCGGGGCGCCATGGGCGCACAATTTGTGTTTATGGATGACAACGCCCGTCCTCACCGTGCAAACATCGTAAGCGAATGCCTTCAATCGGAGAATATCACCCGTATGGACTGGCCAGCATTCTCACCGGACTTGAATCCAGTAGAGCACGTGTGGGACATGCTTGGCCGACGAGTTGCAGCCCGTCAACCTCCTCCTACATGTCTACCGGAACTTCGGAGAGCATTGCTTTTTGAGTGGTGTAATATCCCCCAAGATCAGATCGATAATTTGATACTCAGCATGCCTAGGCGTTGTACGGACTGTATTGCATCGTCTGGGAGACATACAATGTATTAACAATCATACCAACCATGTAATATTGGTTTTTTTAAAATTTTTTTTTTTTTTTTTAATTTGCTCCAGGGAGAAAAAATCACTATTTTTTTAAATGATATCAAACATATAGCATCTTTTTTTTTGCTCTTTACCTTTTGTTTAATAAATAAGCTTTACAAATAAGTCAAATTTGTTTTTCTTCTAACTCTTCCCTTGCCTGATTTTGCATTATCCTTAATTTATGGACATGAGCGTAGATTGTCCTGATCTATCATCAACGTATTTTTGCGCTTTTTGACTTTTAAAAAGTGGGTTGTCCCAACGTCGACATACAACCTCCTTAGATTTTGGAAAGCTGTTTTAGAGCAATGGGGTAAAATACCTCTTCAGATGCTACAAAAGGCTTTATTGTCTTGGAAATTACGGTGTGTAAAGATACTGAAGAATAAGGGTTCTATCAAAGAGAACATAAAACGTAAAAATTTTAGAGAAAATATTTCTGTAATTATAACGAAAATCGTCTAAAAATTGGGCCCGCAGCCTCTGTACTAACAAACTGCTTTACTCTTTTATCAAGAGTTGATTTTTAGTAATACATTTAGCATTTCATTGTTTTTAATCCATTAAATTTTACTTAACTGTTATTCATTTAACTGTTTTTAAAATGCGGAAGCTTTTCGCAGCTAAATCTACTATATAAAGAAATTCTATCTAAAGCATCAGAAACAATACGGAACTCATACAGCAACAAATAAATTTATTTTCAGTTCAAGCTTTATTATTATTATTATTATTTTTGTGATAAATGTTGAATTTATACATTTTATGTTTTCTTTAATCCGAGAAAATTTTGAAAATAAATTCGAAATAAACACGAGTAGATGAAACCGGAAAGTTATCTAAAAACTGCGAAGTGACCCTAGAAAGAAAAAAAAATGTTGAGTCTTAAACTGTAAACAGTAAGCAGGAATGGAAGGAAATAAAAATAGAAAGAATGGAAGATGATATTACGAAAACAATTTCTCTTTTCCCGTCAAAACCTCTCCTGTGCATGCTTATATGTAGATAAAATAACATTATTTCATTTTAATAAATATGTCGAAGCTATCATGCATGATTAATAAACATATAGTTTTAAATCAGTTCCTGCCATTAAAATAGCAGCTATTTCTGAGTACATTGCACTAATACAAACGCTACTGTTTTAAAATTAATTTTCTGGCCCTTTTTATTGATAATACACATAACACTTTCGGAAGGTGAAGAAAGCTTAAATACGAGGCATTCAAAGCTAAAAAAATGTTCAAAATAATAATGCAAGGTATTTTGTTCAAACACACTCTAAGAGGTGATAGAACACATCAAAATTTAAATACTTTCAATCACAGAATGCATAGTTGTCGCTGAACGGTTTGGAGCTGAAGAGCTTTTTTTTACCCAAAATCGCGCAAAGCGATGTCAGGCTTTGTGAAAAAAGTCAATGAAAATGCGTCTTATAATTACATCTAGAGCCGAGGGAATGGCGGTGGAGGAGGGAAAGATCATAGTTTTTTAGCAAAACTACTTAAATGGCTTGAAAGAAGTCTAGGACCGCGCTACGAACTTAAAATGTCTAATATAAAAATCCCGAATTGAGAAGCAAAGGTATTTCTCCCACTTCCCTAGCGTCCTTCGTGGTGTAGTGGTTCTGCACGCTGGGCCGGTATTCCAGCGGTCCATGGTTCGATTCCTGGCGAAGGCGTTCGCTAATTTTTCCTCTCTCTGACTCCAAAAAATACTTAATGCCTCTACA